CCTATGTATATTGGTCGATCCCAGTACATGTCTGCCTTACGCAATATCTCTCGTTTTCACCATCCGTCTGTTTGTCAGTCGCTTTATATCTTAAACCAGTCTCGACATCAACACTCCTGTCGTTTCCAGCTTCGTCCTATTCATCACTGAGCTTTGTCCTGCTTATTACTCTTCGTACCTCCATAGACGGGGCAGCCATGGGTCTATATATGGAACAGTCATGGGTCGTCTATAGACGAGGCAGCTACAGGACAACCAAAGGACAATTAGGTGTCATCCGCGGGACAAATGAGGGGACCACCCACAGGACGACCACAGGACAGCCACAGAACGACAACCATGGGACATTTGCAGGACGACCCGAGAACAACCACGGGACAACGACGGGACAACCACGGGACAACCGTCAGAACAATCGCGGGACAACCATGGGACAATCACAAGTTAACCACGGGACAACAATCGGGGCAAACGCGGGGCAACCACAGGACAAGCATAACCGCTGCACATCCACGGGACAACCACGGAGCAGCCACGGCACGCACAACGGCGGGACAACCGTCGGGACAACCTTGGGACAACCTCTGGACAACCGCGGGACAATCGCGGGGCAACAACGGGACATCCGCCGGACAACCCGGGCCCCACAGCGTTGCGGTTGGAGAGGCGGCAATTTGCCCCGAGAAGGCCGTGGGCCAGGATTTGCCTCGCCAGCTTCGCCTGGCCCGCGCACGCGTCACGGTCACGAACCGAAGCAGACCCATTTCTTGGCTGGATGTCTCCTTTTAAATTCGATCTCTCCCCTCACCTAACCTCTGAGTTTGGCCGTCCGTTCGTCTGTCAGTTCCATGTTTGGAAGACCTGCTTGGCCTGCTGGAGGCACCCCATCAATCGGCACCAGGCAACCTTTGGCAACCACTCAAACTCAGACTTTGGTGTGATTTAGGTTCGACGTGAACGGAATTTCCCGTTCGCATGTTCCTGTGCATTTTGCCCGGACCGCCTGAGCGCGCGTGCGGACTGTTTTTGCCGCGTTGCGACGTAAGATGTTCCTGGACATTGTTCTTCGCAGCTGTTCTTCTTTCTCTAACTTCTCCTGGGTAAGGTGTTGCGTAAGCCGTTTTTGTTCATGTCGAGTCGCGTTGGGCATACATAGTGTCATAGTGTCCAGCTGCTTGCGGCATTTCCCGCCGCTGGGCCAGCCCAGCATTCTGGGCAGCGATTGTTCGAGGGGGCACGGGAGGCTGTCACGTGTGAAACCTCGTGTTGCCAGGTGTGGGAGAGACGTCATGAGGATGATGTTGGTTATGAGGATGATGGAAACAATGGGGATGATAACTTGGATGCTGATGCAGAGGATGATTACGATGACGATGATGAGGATGCTGATGATGGTGAGGATGATTATGATGATGACGATGATGATGCTGACGATGCTGCTGTTGATAAGAGTGGTGATGACGATGATGGTGATATGCTGATGTCGGTGGCGATAACGATAACGATGACGATGATGATGATGATGATGATGATGATGATGATGATGATGATGATGATGATGATGATGATGATGATTATGATGATGATGACGACGACGATGATGATGATGATGGGGATACTGATGATGATGACGACGATGATGCTGATGTCGAGGTGATGACTACTATGATGATGGTGATGACTGTGATGATGCTGGTGGTGGTAATGATGCTGGTAATGATGATGGTGGTGGTGGTGATAATGATTGGGATGTTGATGATAATGACGACGATGATGACGATGACGATGGCGATGACGGTGACGATGATGATGACGATGATGATGTTGATGATGCTGATGATGATGATGATGAAGATGAAGATTAAGATGATGATGATGATGATGATGATGATGATGATGATGATGATGATGATGATGATGATGATGATGATGATGATGATGATGATGATGATGATGATGATGATGATGGAGCTGATGGTAACAATGGTGGTGGTGATGATGATGGTGCTGCTGTTGCTGATGACGACGATGATGACGAAATCGTTTAGGCCGTTTTGAGGCTGGCTTCACCTCCTGTAAGGCAGTCTTAGGGGTTCCTTTGGGCCCTTGTGGGCCGTCTTGGGGCCCTCTTACCCCGGCTTGGCGCTCTCTTGAGCCGTGTTGGGGCCTTCTTGGCCGTATGGTGGGTGTCTGGGGGCCGTCGTGGGGCCGGCTTGGCGCCGTCTTTGGCCGTCGAAGGGCTTTCTGAGACCGTCTGGGGTCCCACGGAAGGCATTCTTGGGCCGTCTTAGGGCCGTCTCGCATGCCTTTTGAGCCATCGTGGAGTCCTCTTGGGCCGCTTTGAACTGACGGCAGCTCGAAAAAGCGAGAATGCGAAAATCATTCAAGAACCTAAGCGACATCGATTTCGGCTTCTTCGGACCCTGTTGGAGGTCCTCTTCTTGCCATTCTGGGCCCTCTTTGAAGCATTTTGGGCCGCCGTGAAGCAATGTTCGGCCGCCTGCGGGCCATCTTGAGCCGTCTTCGAGGTATCTTGGGCCATGTGGATGTCCTTGGTTGCCTGCACGGGCCGTCTTGGAAGCCCGGGACGCATATCAATTGTTTCTAAAAAGGGAGATCGTGTTTTGGGAGGCCCTGGAGCGCTTAGGGCCAGCGACTGGGAATGCGGGAAGCGCACGATCCTCGAGCGGGTGCGCATGGGATGAGGGGTCTAGGAGTGAGCAGCCATGCGGGAAGTGCACCATCCTCGACTAGGCGCGCATGGAATATGGGTTCAGGCAGTAGCTGCCATGCGGGAAGTACGCCATCCTCGAGCGGGCACGCTTGGAAGGGGGGTTCAAGCATTCGCTGCCTTGCGGGAAGGGCACCGTCCTGGAGCGGGCACGTGAGTAGGGAGGATGCACGCCAGAGTCCACGGATAGAGGGAGGGGCTGTCCCTCAGCAGAATTCAAAAACCCTATCAGGAATACTTTGGCACCCTTCCACGCCGAACTTGCCAGGGGGCACTGTGGTGGATCAAGGGGAGTGCTGGGCTTTATGGAAGGATGCGTGGTTCGTGTTGGAAGATCTTGGCATTCATGCTTGGTTGTGTAAGATGTTTGTGGGCGTGCTCTTGGAGCGCTCGGGGCCTGTCTTAGAGCCCTATAAGCGTGTGGCCGAGTTGGTGTCCCCCTGGAACATCCCTTAGAGCCCCCTTGAGACTGTATGCGTCGCCTCTGGGTCCGCTTGATTTGTTTCCAGTTCTGAAGGTGGGGCGCTGTAGAAGTTTCGGGGTGTATACACATGTTTTTGTTCCGGCAGACGTTTGCAGGCATTGGGGGCTGCTTGTGCCCCCTTAGTAGAGCCAAGGGGCATTCTTAAACAGCTGCAATTCTCCTGTGAGTGAGGGCTTCGATGAGGCCCCCCCCCTGGGAGGAGGAGGAGGAGAAGGAGGAGGGGAAACGTGGCGGGGGGGTGAGGGCTTGGCCGCTGGCAGCCGGTTGGAATGCCTTCCCTCGTGGACATCCCCACAATGTGCCGGGGGTGATGTGTCATTACTGATAGGCATTTGAATTGTGCAGATTTTCGCAGAAGTTCTACGAGCGAAGCAGACGAAGGTGTATCGTTCCCCCCTTTTCCAAGACAGGTTGATCGTGCCATTATTCCTTTTGGTGTGTGATGATGTTGATGCTCTTCTAACCCTGCGTATCGATAGCATAGGGAGCGCATGGGCGAAGGGAACCGCCTTGATCTTGCCGCTCGTGGTCAGTACTTGGCAAGACGCCGAACTTTAGCGGGCGCGCGGGCAAGCTGTTGCCAGGATTGAAGTTGTCAGTTTGGGAAGCTTGTGGCGCAGAAGCGCCCCGGCGTCCAGTGCCTTCTCCAGACAGTGCAGGGTCTGAACATCAGACTGCTGCCTGTGCTCGGCTCCCAGCGTGTCGATTGCACTCCGTACTGCCCAGCTGGTGGTGATGAGAGGGAGGAGGGACAGGAGGGTAAGTAGCCAATTTCACGTAGCGCATCATAATCAATGGTCACCGTTGTGCGTTCGTGTGCGTATCGTGCGGGCGCCTACGTGCCAGCTCCATCGTGCAGCATGTGTGGTCGGGAGCACGGGACCATCAACTTAGCTCCCAACAACGCATATTCTCTGAGCCAGTCGTTGGGTGTTTGACTACGTCGAGACGTTGCATTGGATAGTTTACTTAGCGTCTCTTATTTGCGGATACTCAAGCATTTTACAGGAACACCTCTTCACGCAGCTTTAGCTCATGCGGCTCCAGTTAGATGTCAGATGAGTGCTGCGGGCATCTCACCACACTCCGCGACGGGAAAAAGGTACACTTCCCACCCAAGTATGCATGTGGTGCCCATGCGTGATTTCCATGTGCTGTGTGTATGTGTGTTGTTTGTTGACTGTCGCAGGAGGAATTCAATTCTCCAGAGCCGTCATGTTCAGTATTAGTAGGCGGGGTGACACCGCAAGAGGCGTGCACTCTTGCACACAACACCACGCAATGCAGTTCTCGGGGCCATAGATTTTCTGAGGCACACCGTGCCCGGAGCGGAGAGAGGCAGGGAGGAAAGAGGGAGGGTTCCGAACGGCCAGGCTGTGTCTTTGTGTTGCGTGTTGGGGCTAGGTGCGTTGAGTTTCTGCCGTTTGGGTATTCACAGTTTACCTATATGCATTTTCATGTAGCTGCGCCTTGGTGCAACTTCACCTCCCAAAGTGTTGAACGAGGCTACGTCATCGACCCTTGCAAGTCCACCCCAGATGAGCGCACGTAGCCGTTGTAATGCGAGCCCTTACCACGACCACTTCTTCGTCCTGACTTGCCTTTGGCGTTTCTGGGCCCCGTGGAGGGTCGCGGGGGCCTGAAAGCGGCGAACAGACATCCTAGACCCCTTTCCTCCAGGACCCGCTTCCTTTCATGCCAGTACCCCCATGCACCCCTGGCTTGCTAAGCAGCCTGGGTCAATGGCAGGCATTCGCTGTCATGGTGCGCGCGTGCCGCTCCCGCAGCCGCTGGACGATCGAGGCGCGCCAGGCGCCCTCGAAAGAGCCCCGCTGACGGGCGATGCCGAAGGTCCTCTCGGCAAGGCGGCAGGAGGCGCGCCCTCCCCCCTATGGCGACATGATGGTGGTGGTGAGGAGGAGGAGGAGGAGGAGGAGTATGAGTATGGGTACTGTATGGGTATGCCTATGAGTATGAGTGTGAGGACGATGATGAACAGAATGCCGATGGTGATGCTGATGGTGTTGCGGATGACGGTGCATATGGTGACGATGAGGTTCTTGCTAATGCTGGTGTGTATGGTGGCGACGGTGATGATGATGATGATGATGATGATGATGATGCTGATGCTGATGCTGATGCTGATGCTGATGCTGCTGATGATGATGATGAAGATGATGATGACCATCATCAGTATTAACAGTAATGATGACGTTGATGCTGATGCTGGCCATGATGAGGATGATAATGATAATGATCCCTTGCTGAGGCCAGCCGTGCCCCCCGCGGGTCAAGGCTGCCCTGGTGCGCACCTGGTTTAACGGGTGGTGCACGGGGCGGCGGTTCCAACAGCAGGATTGTTTTTTGCATCTTCGGCTGCTTTGCCGAGGATTCCATCGAGCACTACTCCCCGTGCCGCGTGGTGAAAGAGTTTGCTTGGCGTTGCCTCGCCCTGCCTCCGTCCCCCTCCTCTCTTTCTCTCTCTCTCTCTCTCTCTCCGATTTTCTGTTGCTTTCGAAACCAGTGCAGCAATTTGGTCGAAACATCTTCGTCCGCGAGGCCGTCCGCACGGCCGCCGTGTATAGTCTGCATTGCCGCTGGCGGCACGCGGACACGACAGCGACGCCCACCGCCTCCGCCCTAGGCCAGGCGGCGGTGGAGCTAGTCCGCGGACATTCCGCCGCACGCACAGTGGCGCAAGCGTTCGTGGGCGCCCGCCCGCCGCCGCGGCCGTACTAGCTCGGCTGGTATCGCTGTCCCGTGCCTCCCCTCCCTTTTCTCCTCTCCTCCTCTTCCTCCGCCTCCCCTCTTCCTTCCTTTTTGAATCACGGTGCAGTTTATTGGCCGATGGATTCCAGGACGCGCTGCGCCCAGCAGCAGGTCCGAACGGCATCTCCCCCTCGTCTCTTTCCTCCCGCCCTCGCCTCCCGGAGGCGGGGCGCCGGCCCGCCCTGCTGGGGCGGGCCGGCTCTCCGCCTCCTTTGCCTGTCTCGTCCTCGTTCTCCCCCGAATGCTGGAGCTTTACTTCTGGACACCTTGTCCGTCGGAGTGCTATTTGTTCGTCGCGTCACTTTCCTTTTTCTCTCCTCTCCTGCCGCTGCCGCCGCTGCCGCTTTCCACCTCCACCATCGTGATAGTGTTCTAGATTCGCTCTGTCGGGAGCTGCGCTCGAGGGGGACTTCCGAGTGCAAGGGCTTCACCGTTCTCTCCCTCCTCCTCCTCCTCTTCCTCCTCCTCCTCCTCCTCCTCTTCCTCCTTGGCATCTGATGGCGAGGCTCAGAATGCGTTGTCATTCGTGGTTTCATTTCGTTGCCCCAATTTTGGGCAAATGGCCGGGCAATGAACGTCACGGGTAGCGCGTGCTTGTCCCGGCCGCGTGGCCGATGCATGCGTGTGCCCTTTCAGGATGATGCGTTTTGTGGCAATTCGTATCTTCAGGCAGGTCTGCCCTTCCCCCCTCTACCTCTCTCCCCCCTGTGCCCGAGTCCGGGGCTATTGCAGGTTTTTGCCTTCATCTCTGCACTGTGGCCGGCTCTCGTCGCGCGTTCATTCCCCTCAGCGTTCCTCCTTCTTTTCCCCAAATAGCGATTTGGAAAAAAATGACGGTGATGGTGATGACGGTAAAGGTAACGACGATGATACTGTTGAGGATGATTATGATGCCGCGGTTGTGGAAGATGATGATGAGGAGGAGGAGGAGGCTGACCATGACGAGGATAGTCAGGAGGTTGCTGGTGGTTATCATGACAATCGTGATGTTGATGAGGATGATGATTCTGATGAGGATGATGATGCAAACGAGTGACGTTGATGAGGACGAGGATGACAAGGGTGATGCTGGCGAGAGGGATGATGCTGATGACGACAACGATTGCAGTTATCCTAACGTGTTTTGCGGAGCAAGAGCGGGAGGGGCCGCCTCGACCTTAGCAAGTAGTAGCAACCATCGTATACCTTTTAAAGTGACTGGAGACCGGGATGCGCGCAGCGAGCGCTTCGCAAACAGGGCTCACAAATCCAAGAATTCGCTGGGATCTCCTACTTTGCGCAAGTGCGAATGTCCGTGAGTGGAACAATCTTGCCCCTTCATCAGAGCTAGCATGACTCGCGTCTTCCCTGGGCCTGGCAGCGCTATATGCAGATTTCATGTTAGGTGTCCTTGCCTGGGGCAGCGAATGTGTCTCGCGCTTCTCTGAGATATGGCCCACAGACGGAAACGAACACACACATGTGTGTGTACGTACGTATGTATACATATATACGAATATACTTATATATATATATATATATAGATCGATAACCTTGGGAGGCGTCAAGCATTCCCAGGCGCGAGGCCCGAAGCAGGTGATGTGACCAACAAGCAAGTGTGAAAAACAGTTTGCCTCATCGTGATGGTACTCTCCGCCCCCTCAGGCCGCGGCGTTCCCATCCCGAGGCTCAGAAGATGATGATGTACTCCCAGCTGCAGGCGTGGTACCCTCCGAGGTACTGCACATAGTTGGATCGATGGGCTTGGACAGTCTGGCGTCGACGGCCTGCTGCCCGTGGTCTCACTTAGTGGCGGCCGCTCAACTTGCCGCTGCCGCCGCCTCCATATAGTGAGCCTTGGCCGCTACTGGCTCGATATCCTCGCGTGACGCTGTAGCAGCTGGCTGATCTCATGCTGGCGCAGACGCCCCGCTGCATGCACCTGTGCCCGCTGCTGCACCGCTGCCGCTGGAAGTGTCCACCGCACCATTGTCCGTTCTTCCCGAGATCACACCTTGGGCGGACTTACTACAATTCGCCATTATCTCGGTGCTCAAACGTTGCATTTCGGCATATTTGGTCTTCCACTCTTCGATCCGCGATCTCTGCAAAGCCAGAGTGTCGCGGATGGTCCTCAACTGGTTCGCACTCGTACTCCTCAGGCTCGCACTCGTATTCGTCTAGCTAGGCGGAGAACTCCTCGTCCTAGGATAACGACCACGTGGTCCCTTGTGAGCTGGAATCTTCGCCGTTGCCGCCGGACTGATCCTCTCCAACCATGCCCGTTCGATGGGTAACGCCTTCGCTGCCAGGCGTCTGCCTATCTCCGCAGTGGCCAGCTCATTGGCTAGTTCTTGCTCACGCTATTCTGCCTTCGCAGCTGGAGTCGAAGGCGTACAAAGTTACTTACCGCTTGATCGTGTCGCATGTCGGCGTCCTTTCAGGCCCCTTCCGCCCGCTTGACCGCGTTCGTTGCACTGATGGCCTAGGGCGGCTTGACTACGGGCTTGCCCAAAATCTTTACGGCCTGCTCCAGGAGGGCCTGACTCACATTGACATCCTGAGACTTTGCGTCCTCGCTGGGGACCGAGCTCGATCTCCCAGCCTCGTCGCCATTGCCAAAGCACTGCCAGCTGTAGAGTATTGGGGTTACCGGCTGCCTCATCGAAGGTGACGTTCTTTTTTGAAACGCGAAGTTTCAATTGTCTGTGGTACTTCCCGCATCGGAGTTCTCGGCTCTTGAGGATGGCGTTCCGCTCCGATGTGTGGCGCCTCTTGCACGTTGTCCACCGTCGCGCTCCAGGGCCCGACGACGCCATGGAAGAAAACACCAAGTCCGGGAGGGCAACACGACAGAGCTCAGCGTTGCAATTTCGGCGGGTCAATGTAATTCGAAGGTCAACTCGGGTCACTACGTTGCGAATGCCAGCGCGGACGGAAAATGCACGCATTGATTGCAAAGGTGGTTAGAGGTTGATCGCGGCCAGCGGGATGGCTGTCAGTGTTCGGTTGCCTGGGCGCTCGATATTCGGTGCAACGTCGACCAATCGATTCGGCGTTTGAGCGAGCTTACGGTGGGTTCGCGCCGCGTTGACGTGGCGGCCTCGCAGGCGCGGGCGTTCAAGGTTGAGCGCCGCCAGTGGCCCAGAGTCGGCCGCCATCGAGCGATCTGAGCTGTCGGAAAACCGCGATCGCTCAAGGTTGTGCGACCCACGAGGTGTCAGAAGCCAACGCGCAAGTCGTCACGACAGGAACTTGCCGTATGGCGAGTCGGCGGTGGAGCGGACCCAGCGGTTCACCTGGGCCGAGAAGGCTCCAGCCCAGCCAAGCCTGGAGCATCACGCTAAGGTCCCAGCCGCAGGCGCGGCTGAGTGGCTCTGGTGGAGTTTCTGCTGCACGCCTGGCGCAGGCCATTCGGCTGGTCGAGAGCTGTTGTGAACCTGTTGCGCAGTAGTAATGTCAAATGGGAATTCGGCCTTCAGCAGATGCCCACGGAGCTGTCGTATCCCTTAATGGTCCCAGCTAGCCGTAAGGTTTCCAGGGCGCCTTGCAAGGGTAAACACCAACGGACAGATCGAGGACATGTGTGCCACTTGTATTTCTCATACGATTCCAACGTGGAGCCCAAACATTGAATTCATGAGTTATGCGTATGTGGTGGAGCTGCAGTGTAAAGCAATGCAAGTAGTACCAGGCAGTGTGAAGCATGACAAACTAATGCAAACTTGAGGAAGGCAAGTCAGTGCATTACAGATAATGGCAACTCCATGCAAGCAGTTCAATGCTTTGTATCCCAGTGTAAAACAACGCAAACCATTGAAACGTAGCGCGAAGCAGTACGAAGTATTCCATGGCGAGGCATTGCAGTGCAATGTAAAGACATGGAACGCAACCCACTTGCGAAACCAATGGCCACGAATCAAATCCCAGCACCCCAGATGCAACCCATGGGCGCAGCCTTTGGGTGTGACGAAGATGTTTGCGCCACGCGCCCGCGACAAATGTGCGCAGCCGACGGTATTGTCGAGAAATCTGCGCCGTGTGGCCTCAACCCATGACGCAGCCCATCGGGCACACTTTATGGTCGCGCGGAAATCTGTTCCATTTGGCCGCAACCCATGGCGCAACCCATGAACGCAGATGGTCCCATCGATAAATCAGCGCCACGTGGCCGCAACCCACGGCCCACCCAATGGGCGCAACCTGTGGCCGTGCCAGCAGCGCCGCGTCGCGTGGCAGTGACCCACTGTACAAGCCGTGGGCGCAACTCATGGTGGCGCTGGAAAGTCTGCGCGATGTGATACCTATTTCCGCCGGAACGAAGTAAGAATCTGTTTGCGCACACGCATTTTGGGGGAGCGTGGTCATTATCATGTGGCTGACGTTTGGGGGATGAGACCGACGTGAAACGTAGGCCCCAAACGGCGAGATCGCTTTCAGTGTCGGTTTCATGTCGTGCGTGACGCGCGTGCGGGCGAGGCGACGCAGCGCGAGTTCTTGTCCGAGCTAGGCTCACGCATCGACAAACCGAGTCGCGGACTTCGAGGCGTGCCCAAGGTTGTCCCGTGGTTGTCCCGTCTGCGGATAGACAGTGGGGTTGATGAGCAGTTTGTTTGGTCACAGCGATCGAAAGATGATGACATCCACGGGTCGTGAGACTGGTATGTGTAGACGTACATATGGATATATGTGTAGTGTGTGTAGACATTTATATGTGTGTGCACGGGTTGATAGTGGTATCGATTCATAAGTTGTGAAGCCGGTTAGTCGTTTGTTAGCGGAACATATTGATGTATAGTGAGACCGTATGGACGGAGTGACCCTATATTTTCTGTATCGAGAGATATAGATCGTTTCACAGATAGAGCGCGAAATCGATCCGACGCGAATCGCAAACCAGAAGCTGCACCCCCTCCTGTCCACCCCAAATCCCCATATCACCCGAAGGGTGGTTTCATAGGTATATGCTGCGCTCGCCTTGTCAATGTTTGAACGCGTTACTGTTGCCGAGGCGCCGTCCCAAACGGGTTCTCTCAGAACTCCCTGAATAGGGCGAACGTCTTGCCGCCCAAGAACGTGCAGGCTCCGATGCGGTACCCGTCTGGGTGCCTTCCGAAGTTGACCCGGAGACGAGCGCTAGCACTGGAGCGAACGCCAGCCGCGGCCGGCCGATCCAGCAGCACCAGAAGGAGCAGCAAAGCTAGCAGCAGAAGTGACACCGGCATCACTGAACGTCAGCAGCAGCATTGTAGTCGTATCACCAGTGCGGCCACCAGCATAATGATCAGTCAGAGCAGAAATCAAATGATGCGCTGATTCGCGCGAGTTTTTACCTTCAGGCGGTTCTTAAGGAAACGGGGGAGGCTGCTCAGCGGAGGCATGGGAATGATGTAAACAGAGGGGTGGGATGAGCAGAACCGCCCCAAGCACGACAGCGAAGCGTCGGTAAGAGGCATTTAACAATCTGAAGCTCGACCATGGCTTCTTTGAGAAGGCTCTTCAGCGCAGGCGCCTTAGAAGACGCCCGCGGCGCTCATGTTGTCTCATTGGGAGAAGGAGGAGTATGAGAAGGATGGGGAGGAGGGGGAGGAGGAGGAGGAGGAGGAGGAGGAGGAGGAGGAGGAGGAGGAGGAAGCAAGGACACCAGGCTCAAGGGGGGAGTGCCTCCAGCATGTTTGCAAGGCGTTCAGGGGACGATTCTGACAAAGGGATACACACCAGAGCAACGTGTTTGATTATCTCGCTCTTGATTCGCGTGTGAGCTGTTCGTGACCAACACTCCCATCCGCAAGCGATGGACGCATACCGAGCCTACGTCTATGGCGGCGACACGCGGGGGCCCTACCTGCCGCCCGACGCCATGCCGAAGTTGCATTGTATCGAGCCCGTATCTATGGGCAGGCCCCTACACATACGAAGGATATGGCACGCTCGCAATCAAACGACCTTGACTCCAGAAGTACGGAATCATGAATGTCTAGGCCATGTCGTGGGGCCGTATGTCTACAAAGGGAAATGCGGCACATAATCTCGGGAAGATGTATGCCGAAAGCGCCCACGCGACCGTTCTCTCCAGGAGTGTACTGGTGGATCATGGTACGAATCAAACTACTGGGTTGCCATTCTGTTTCGATGTCCCATTACGCTCCTACGCAGACTGGCGGAGCCCGCGGACCACGAACTCAGCGCTTGGGAACCACGTCATATGCGCATGCGATGCCAACTCTTTTTGCGGACCACATAGTAGAAACACAATGGGTTGTTCGGACGGTACACTACCACGACACCAACGGCGAAATGGCCACGTCAGCTCGACGAGTGGAGGTGTGGCAAAGGACATGTGCGCGCGGATTCGCTTCCCCAGTGTCGGCAGCAAGCGACGGTGTATTATCGAGTGATAAAACATGGGTGCGAGCGTGCTGTAGTCGTCTCGGCTCCCGGAGGCATTTTCAAACGATGGAAAAGACTAGTGCGACGGCGTTTGCGGGGGCCGACCACCGTGGCAATTGTTTATCGTTCCTCCCCCTTTCGGCCATGGCACGAAATCAGATTTACAGAGTGGAAGAAATACCGACGACTGACAAACCAGACTTTGTTAGCGATGGGCCTCGCGGGCGACACTTCTGCCTGGGCGACTACAAGCACATTGCATCACGCGAAGGATACAGTCCAGCGTGCACCCGGCGAACGAGGAAGACATATACACTTTGGCATCCTGTCAAGGACACGCGGCCAACATGTTGCAGGCGTCATTCAATGTCTGGGCCACCGTGCGGCGACAGTTCAGCCACGCTCGACTTGTTGAGGGCGCAAGGCATGATTTGTCAGGCCTCTCTTCTTGCTTGTCTTGCGCATGGGTCAGAAGAGAGACCCTGGATGCAGAACCATTCCAACAGATGCCATACATTTGTAGGGCGATGTTGTCGCTTTTTTGATCAATTGAGCCACAGGTCTGGGACTTCGGAACGCGAGGAGAAGGGGTGCACCATGGCGGACTTCTGCGGACGGCTTGAAGACCAAATAATGGCTTCTTGCAACGTTCGGGGTGCAGTTTAAGTGATACAATTCACTTGCCGAACTTGAAGTCCACTGCTCGCGCGCGTCCACAGCATTGAGGTGAGTCCCTGTCTAGGTGGTACAATTGCACTCCACTGCTCGCGCACCATCCCACCCACCCACCCGCAACTTGGTGCACGAAACCCATGCGGAAACGATTGTGATGAGTGCTGGGCGTTGGCTGGTGCATCTCTGCGGCCGTGCTAGCCCACGCATGCTCGCGCGCGCAGCGGCCAGCTAGTTTGGCGCCACTCACGCGAACGCAGTGGCGCTGACCGCTTGGCACATTCCAGCGGGCACTTAAGTGCGAGTCGGCGACTTGGGCAGGCGCGGCGCCATGGCAACGTCGACAGCGGTAGGCGCGATGATGACAGTAGCGAGGCTGGTGACGACGCTGACAGCGACGACGGGGCAGCCAGTGACGGCGCCGATGCTGATCGCGCCGACGACGACGGCGGCGTCTTCGAGCCGGCGATGCATTGGACATCGCGGCGGCACCACTGATCGGCCATCTGTGTGACCTTTACGCGCAGATGGTATTCGATCCCCATGGACATTCACTTAAGCGATGCATTAATTCATTTGTTAGGTTCAGTTTCATTAGGAAATACTTATCATCTTCTCAATGGGAAGCGATCATCACTGCTCAACAAGCTTCGTAGAGCAGCGGTCTTTGGGCATCGCGCCGCCCGCGTTGTTGCGAGGCGAGTCGGGCGTCGTTTGTTCGCAGCAATCGAGTCGCATCGGCGCGCGCGGCGCTCAGGAGATATTTTCATTTTGAAAAGGGCTCGTGACCTCTGTGCCTTCCTTCGTCATCATCCCCCCCCCTTTCCCTCCCGCCCCCCCCCTCGCTACCGTCGCCGGGGGGCCGGGGGTCTCAGAGGAGGGGGGGGGGAGAGGAGGGGGAATAGGAATTGGAAAAGGAGGACAAGGAGAACGAGGAGGAGGATTGGAAGTGGAGCTGCAAGAAGAGGAGTTGGAAGCAGAGGGCGAGGACGAGGACGAGGACAACCCTCCGCGCTTATCGCTGGGCGACGAATCACAGAGCCAAGCGGGCCCCGGGGGGGTCGGCTCGCTGGATGTGACGGGGTGCCCAGATAGTAGTTCGAGTCGACGAATGGGCTGAGGGCCCCCCCGTGGATTTCTCGAGCACGGTACCTCGCAAGGGGGGCCATGGGGGGGGCCTCCTCGAACTGGAGACATGATTTCTTCTCCGTAGCCATACTTGCATAGAGTTGTTTTTGCTGGCTGGCATCCCGCCCTTTCCAGCGCCATCTCCAGCAGGCGCCAGTGGCGCCGACGATTTGCCCTCGTCCCCGTCCCGAGGCTTCTGGCCCAGAGAAAATCCCGATGGCGTCCGCGGCTTCTGGCTCCGAGGAGATCCCGATGGCGCGCGCGGCGTCGAGCTCCACGGGCATCCCGATGGCGCCCGCGGCTTCTGGCTCCAAGGGCGCCCTGGTGCCGATGGCGGACGCCGCGGACGCCCATACAGATATTTTCTCAGACGGCGAAGCCCCCCCCCCCTTTTTTCAAGGGGGGGCTTCAGCGTGGGTGTCGGTAGCGACGGCGACGACGACGGCGACGGCATGCTGCTGCCCGCCATCAGCGACGACGAGAAGTACCCGGCGCGCATCCAGAGCGCCCTGGTTCCCGGGGACCGCGGCGAGACCGGCGGCGACGTTGTGCCGATGATTGCTGGCCCAATGGTGCGGGCCATTCCAGCCCCAAGTCCTCTCGCTCGCATTGCTCTCGAAGGCGGCGTCGCTGATTCTCCCCCGAATAAGTTGCCAGACGTGGCCCGCGTGATGCCCGGGGCCGACATGTCGCGCACGGGGCGCGTCGACGCGCGGGGCAAGACGCAGCCAGTCATCGGCCCCCCGAAGCGGATACGCAGTTGGGATGACGACGAGGGGGCGTTCTCAACCTGGAAGCCGGCGCGCGCGATCAAGAGCTTCAAGCATTCCAAGTGTCTCTTCGTCGTGAACCCAGGTGCCGACGCGGAGCGCGAGGGCGCCCGTGATAGGCGGGTTCCAGTGGCTGAAGGTTCGCCCCTGCCAGACAGCGTCGCAGGTTTCGCGGCCTCGATCTTGGCGAGGGCCACTTTCGTGCGCAATAGCTGCCAGCTGTCTTACGTTAGCCAGCTCGAGTGAGCAGCGGATAAGGGGGGGGGCGAGGAATTTGAGGCGGGAGAGGAGAGGGGGGGGTGGGGAGGGGGCGTGAGGAGCTCCTGCTCAGAAGCAGCGCGTCGCCCGTGCGCTGTCTGTGCGAGCTTGCGAGCTTGCCTCCTCATGCGCGGCGAATCTCCTGTGCGCTGTTTGCGCGAGCTTGCGCGCCTCTTGCATTCAGCTGGGAGCTGCTGAGTTTCTCGCGTCTTCGCAAGGCTTCAATCTTAATTCGCGCGCGAGCCGCCGAATGGCGAGCGCGACGCGCGTGAGTTGCCGATCTGTTTTGCCGTCCTCGCTGGGGCTCAACTGGGGGCACTTGGGAATTTCGCGCGCCTGTGGCATGCATAGCGCTGCGCGGTTGTTGTGATCGGAACGCACGCCCCCTCGTCAATGACGTTCGTCTGTTCCGCGGCTCAGTGGCGACGTGCCTCCATGCCCCAGCTTCTCCCAACACGTGTGTTGAAATCGGTGACGTTTAATTCCAGTCAGCGGTCGGCCTCGTGCAGGAGGCCGCGCGTTTGTTTCATGCAGGGCGTTTTGTTTGACATAAATTGAACACATTAGCCTATAGTATGGCAGGCATGATGCGTTGATCCGAGGGCGCGCGCCATGACGGTCCCCAAATTATAGCCGGAGTGCAGTATCCCCAAACAGGATATTGAAACCCACTTCGGTTTCCAAGGTCGATTGCGTGCCCGTTCAGTGCGGCCAGAGGCGCAGCAGCGGGAGGCGGGAGGCGGGATGAGGGAGGAGGGAAGAGGAGCCGGGTGGGAAGCGGGAAGAGAGGGAGGCGGGAGAAGGAATGAGAAAGGTTGTGATTAGAGGCAGAACGGGCCAGACCATCTCGCGCGCAACATCTTCGAGCTTCGCATTGTGAGGATGGCTCAAGCGAAACGGGCCAAACCACCTCGCGAGCATCCTGGAGTTCAGTATTGGAACGATGTCTCAAACGAAACGGGCCGGACAACCTCTCGCACACGTTCTGACAAGTCCACGTCACACTCGCTTCCCATTAGGTCCTCTCCTGCAATTCCCTTCCTTCTCCCTCCTCCTCCTTCCTCCTCCTGCCTGCTCCCTCATCCACATCATCCTCCTCCTCCTCCTTCTCCCTTCCATCTCCTCCTCCTTCTCCTCCTCGCCCTCCTCCTCATCCACCTCCTCTTCATCCCGAACGGCATCTCGGAGCCCAAAGTTGCGAGGATGTCTCCAGCGTAACGGGCTGGACCACCTCGCTCACGGCATCTCGGACCCCAGAGTTGCGACGATGTCTCGGGCGAAACGTGCTGCGAGGAAGTCTCAGGCGAAACGGGCCGGACCACCTCGAGCGCGGCGTCGCAGAGCTCCGAATTGCGGGGGCCTCCTGGGGCCTCCTGGGGACCTCCTGGGGCTTCCTCCTGGGCCTCCTGTGGCCTCCTGGGCCCCACCTGGGGCTTTCTGAAGCCTCTTGGGGCTCCCAGGGGGGGATATCTAACATGTGGCCGTCTGGGCCCACCAAAATAGGGCGGGGGCCACGAGAGCAGGACAAATCAACGAATCGACACCAGATGTGTATTAACTTGACACGTTCTGATAGGGGGCCTCCTGGGGCCTCCTGGGAGCCTCCTGGGAATCTCCTGGGGACCCCTGGGGACCCCTGGGGCCTGTCCTGGGCGTCCTGCGGCCTCGTGAAGCTCTCTGTAGCCTTCTGGGGCTCCTAGGGTCCCAGGGGGGATATGTAACGTGCGGTCTTCTGGGCCCACAGGCTGGACCACCTCTTGCGCGGCATCTGGGAGCTCAGAGTTGCGAGAATGTCTTGTGCGAAACGGGCCGGACCACCTTGCGCACGGCAGAGCTGAGAGTTGCGAGGATGTATCAGGCGAGACGGGCCGGACCACCTCGCGCAGGGCATCTCCGAGGTCAGAGTTTCGAGGATGTCTCAGGCTAAACGGGCCGGACCACCTCGCGCAAGGCATCTCAGAGCTCAGAGTTTCGAGGATGTCTCAGGCGAAACGCGCCGGGCCACCTCGCGCACGGCATCTCAGAGCTCAGAGTTTGGAGGATGTCTCAAGCGATACGGGTCGGACCACCTCTCGCGCGGCATCTGGGAGCTCAGAGGTTGGAGGATGTCTCAGGCGAGACGGGCCGGACCACCTCTCGCGCGGCATCTCGGAGCCCAGAGTTGCGAGGATGTCTCAATCGAAACGGGCCGGACCACCTCGCAAGCGTCATCTCGGAGCCCCGAGTTTCGAGGATGTCTCAGGCGAAACGGGCCGGACCACCTCTCGCACGGCACCTCGGGGTTCAGAGTTTCGAGGATGTCTCAAGCGAAACGGCCCGGACCACCTCTCGCGCGGCGTCTTTGAGCGCAACTTTTCGTGGGTGTCTCAAGCGAAACGGCCAATCCCGGCCAACTCAGAAACGAGAGTTGTGAGGATGTCTCAAGCGAAACGGCCCGGACCATCAAATTTGTGTGAGGATGTCTCTGCTCCCCTTTCCCTCGGCCGGAGTTAGCTTTTATCACAACAGCACCCCGTTCAGCAAGCTGTTTGGGGAAGAAAAATCATGTTTGGGAAACCCTGTCTCGGAGCCCAGAGTTGCGAGGATGTCCCAGGTCGCACCTGGTCGACGAGTAAGCTGTCGGGTCGGCACTGTGAGAGGCTCCACCGCCATGCTGAGAACTCAGAAACAACTTTGAGAGGAAGCGGGGGAGGGCGCGGAAGCGGGGGGGCATGTCGTGATGGTTCCCCCGGGGATGATATCGAGAGGTACGCGGCGCACGTCTCAAAAGAAAAATCGTGACGTTGGATGTCTGGGGAGGGCGGAAGGCAGTGCGCGCATGACGGATGCTGAGGCGGCAGAAACGACGACGGCGGGGACGGGCAGGCGGAGGCAGAGGCGCAGCAGCGGGAGGCGGGAGGAGGGGAGAAGGAATGAGAGAGGTTGTGATTGGAGCCCCTGTGCTACGAAACGTCTCAGGCAGAACGGGCCAGACCATCTCGCGCGCAACATCTTCGAGCCTCGCATTGCGCGAGGATGGCTCAATCGAAACGGGCCGGACCACCTCGCGAGCGACATCTTGGAGCTCAGTATTGGAACGATGTCTCAAACGAAACGGGCCGGACAATCTCTCGCACACGTTCTGACAAGTCCACGTCGCACTCGCTTCCCGTTAGGTCCTCTCCTGCAACTCCCTTCCTTCTCCCTCCTCCTCCTCCTCCTCCCCCTCCTCCTCCTCCTCCTCCTCCTCCCCCTCCTCCTGCCTGCTCCCTCATGCACATCATCCGCCTCCTCCGTTTCCCTTCCATCTCCTCCTCCTTCTCCTCCTCGCCCTCCTCCTCATCTACCTCCTCTTCATCCCGAACGGCATCTCGGAGCCCAAAGTTGCGAGGATGTCTCCAGCGTAACGGGCTGGACCACCTCGCGCACGGCATCTCGGAGCCCAGAGTTGCGACGATGCCTCGGGCGAAACGTGCTGCAAGGAAGTCTCAGGCGAAACGGGCCGGATCACCTCGAGCGCGGCGTCTCAGAGCTCCGAGTTGCGGGGGCCTCCTGGTGCCTCCTGGGGCCTCCTGGGGACCTCCTGGGGCTTCCTCCTGGGCCTCATGTGGCCTCCTGGGCCCCACCTGGGGCTTTCTGAAGCCTCTTGGGGCTCTCAGGGGGGGATATCTAACCTGTGGCCGCTTGGGCCCCTCAAAATGGAGGGGGGACACAAGAGCAGGAAAAATCAACGAATCGACACCAGATGTGTATTGACTTGACACGTTCTGATAGGGGGCCTCCTGGGGCCTCCTGGGAGCCTCCTGGGAATCTCATGGGGACCTCTGGGGCCTGTCCTGGGCGTCCTGCGGCCTCCTGGAGCTCTCTGGGGCCTTCTGGGGCTCCTAGGGTCCCAGGGGGGATATGTAACATGTGGTCTTCTGGGCCCACAGGCTGGACCACTTGCGCGGCATCTGGGAGCTCAGAGTTGCGAGAATGTCTTGTTCGAAACAGGCCGGACCACCTTGCGCACGGCATCTCAGAGCTCAGAGTTGCGAGGATGTCTCAGGCGAGACGGGCCGGACCACCTTGCGCAGGGCATCTCAGAGCTCAGAAATTCGAGGATGTCTCAAGCGGGCTCCCAGGGTCCCAGGGAGGATATGTAACATGTGGTTTTCTGGGCCCACAGGCTGGACCACCTCTTGCGCGGCATCTGGGAGCTCAGAGTTGCGAGAATGTCTTGTGCGAAACAGGCCAGACCACCTTGCGCACGGCATCTCAGAGCTCAGAGTTGCGAGGATGTCTCAGGCGAGACGGGCCGGACCACCTCGCGCAGGGCATCTCAGAGCTCAGAAGCTCGAGGATGTCTCAGGCGAAACTGGCCGGACCACCTCTCGCGCGGCATCTCAGAGCTCAGAGTTGCGAGGATGTCTCAGGCTAAACGGGCCGGACCACCTCCGCAAGGCATCTCAGAGCTCAGAGTTTCGAGGATATCTCAGGCGAAACGGCCCGGACCACCTCTCACATGGCACCTCGGGGCTCAAAGTTTCGAGAATGTCTCAAGCGAAACGGCCCGGACCACCTCTCGCGCGGCGTCCCGGAGCGCAATTTTTCGAGGATGTCTCAGGCGAAACGGCCAATCCCGGCCAACTCTGAAACGAGAGTTGTGAGGATGTCTCAGGCGAAACGGCCCGGACCATCAAATTTGTGTGAGGATGTCTCTGCTCCCCTTTCCCTCGGCCGGAGTTAGCCTTTATCACAAAAGCACCCCGTTCAGCAAGCTGTTTGGGGAAATACATCCAATCAGCATAATCGGGCCATCACCAATCAATCACCGGTCATCGCGTCGATTATGGCAGGCCCTCGCGGCCCGGTGAGGCCGTCTTGGAGTCCTGAGGTCTCGGCTTTGGGTCCTGGGTGTCTTGGGGGCCTTTGGTTCGTTGGGTCTCGTATCTCAGGGAAGTCTCGGGGTCTTTGGGTCTCGTGTCTCTGGTGGGCCTCTCTGGCCCAGCAGAGCTAGCAGCGACAGCCGCTTGCCGCCGCGCCCGTCCCCT